CTGTTTAAGAATATGTACTAAACTTTAGTTGCTTTTCCAAAGTTCATGCAAATCACTCCGAATTACCGTACCTCATCACGTCGCCGTTTGTGCACGCAATCGCATCGATCATAGTCGAACATCTGGTCGTGGGGACAGGTCGTCGGCTCACATACGCACCTGCACTTGTCCTCGTTCCATTCTCGATTACCTTGAAATTACAGCCATCATCGTCCGTCTCGAAGTCGTTTAACCAAGGGAACCATAAGTTACAAGAGTTTTCATGGGATAGCAAATGCTAAATAGGACAGTAAGCAGATGGGAGTTCCGCGATTACAACGTCATGAACACTACTCTGATTATGGCTAAATGTGAAGGTTAAGGAGTTATCTTTCAACCTGGAACACTTATATTATCTCGGGTACCAAAAACGAAATGCAAAAATGCTTCCCGCGATAGTCGAATGGGCGGAGGCTCATAGTTGTTATGCTGCCCTGATTGGAGAGGACCGTACCATCATCGGTTTGAGCGAAATGCGGTTTCATTGTGAAACCCTGTAAATTCAGAGTCTCTCTATAACCCTTTCAACAACTGCTGCGCTACTAAGCATATCCCCCTCCAACCCACTCGCGCCCTACCCAAAATTTCGCAAAATTTTGTTATCGATCGAGGGAAGGAGGAAAGTGCTCTTGAAAAATCAACAATCAAAAAGAAGTCTTCTATAGATCATATACCCATTCCAGCCAAACTCGACCCTCTCTCTGATGGGGTTCGCCTAGCGATGATGCACGTCGATCACTTCTATGTATTCAGGGGGGGGGTAAGCCGAAAATACTAGGGCATCGTGGATCGGAATAATCTAGCGACGACGGAGTTGCGGCCAGGCGGACCAACTACTTCCTGATTCTATAGTTTTCCCTACTGTTCATGGATATTAATGTCATCTAAATGTTTTTGAGCACACCTTGTGGGCAGAATTTAGAAGATCAACCCTATCTAGTTGACCCGATAGCAATTGTTCAATTAGTTAGGTTCTTGTGAAAGTGCAACCGCATGACACCAAGATGATAAATCTATCATGCTTTCCCTGTTCTTATCAGTAAGGGGACTTCAAAAGAACACCTGTCTTATGAATAACATCAATCTTAGATGCTGCTGGACGGCAGGCGTGGGCTCAGGGTTTTTGGACACTAATTTGACAAAATGCACAAAAGCCCGCGGAATTTCGCAAAGAAACCACTTTCAATTCTCGCCACATAATTG